CCCCCACTTGACAGCCCACTGTACCTATCCCCCCCCAAAAAAAACATCGGTGAGCAAAACTGCGGCAGCTACAACCACTGTACGGCGAGTACGCGGTTATTACAGCTGACAATGATGATTTCATCCCCGCGTTTAAGGCTACGTTTCATTTCACAGACCTCAACGGTATATTCTATCCCAGGGCGGAAAGACCTGACAAGATTGATAGATTTCGCTTTGATTGCCTATGAAGAACAATAATGATGATTTCATCCCCGCGTTTAAGGCTACAGACAGTTTCACAGACCTCAACGGTATATTCTATCCCAGGGCGGAAAGACCTGACAAGATTGATAGATTTCGCTTTGATTGCCTATCTTCTGAAGAACAATTCACAACGCCTCTCCGCTCATCGTCCATAAAGAGTTGTGGGATGAAGTCGAGTACTCGTAACGTTTATCTGCTGGGATCAGGTTGACTTTACGGTTGGGTCCTTACTACGGCCGGGCGTGGAAGTAAAGTGCATTTTCTAGTGGTTCTGTAAAAGTGATCGGGTGTATCAGATATTGTGGTCATTAACAGTCGCCCCAGCTGCCCAGCTGTTCATCTACTGCACTGCACACAAAGCATTTTTCGTCGTCAATTTTCATCACAAAGCCCCAATAGTACTTTTCTGTCAATCTCCGTCCTTATCTTAAGCCATTCCTCGTAAAGCGAGTTTCTTTTGTTGGGGTAACCTAGCGGTGAGCTCTCAATTGATAGCGAAACTAGAAATGGCAACTGTATCATATCGTCATATGTCTGGCTCATTGTGTAAATATCGCTTGGGCTGGCATGCTCCATAGTGTTCGTAGAATGTGTTTTCTACTTCATACTATCAATCTGCAATAAAGTAAACAAGTACATATGAACCACGCAAACCCGGAAAGATTTACTCGGAAGACGTTCGGAGCAACTGGTTTTCTTACGGAACCTGCCTCAGGCAAAAGCGACTTGCTTTCATCGACAGGTCACTATTAGGCAATCCGTGAAGTCTGGTGGTCAAGAGTGTGCATTTCTCCCAGTTATTGGATGTTTTGCTCCTCTCCTATACAGACCTCGGTTTCCGTCCGTTTTTTGTCTACGGTCTCACTAGTCTCACAAGATTAACTGTATCCATAAGAGCAAATATGAATCTCTTCCTGCGACGGATTATTGTTCTTATGGAAGACAGCCTGCTGCGCCGGAGCAGTTGTCTCTACTGCACCACGGAAACCTTGTGTAGTTCGAAACCTCTGTGGAAAGTTAAATGTCCGATTTAGTTTGGCTAAGTTCCATGCTCGACATCGTGATTATTGTTACAGCTCTTTGACACAGAGAAACATTTTTCAATGTTCTGATGAATCCCGCCGAACTAGAATTCCTCGCTGAAGATGAACCCGTGCAGATTATACCAAGGTTCAAACTAGATGCAATCCAGTTGCTTCCCTACTCTGTAAGTGGTCCATCACCTTGTTTCTCTGTTTGTTATTGGATGGTTATGTTCCATTTTATTTTACCGTACAAACCACCCGTTGAAAGCAAATATCTTCACAAAAAGTACCCTACGCTCAGCCTTGTATTATGATAGCTGAAGGATAGTGACGCTCCACGAAATTTGCAAAAGAAGACTGTCTTGCCTGTAGATCCATACAAGTCCATATAAGGTGAATTACTAGTTTCGACCCAAATCAATCCGTTCGAACAGCCCTGTTTAAAGGTTTCTAGCAAGAAGAATGAATTTTTATCCACTTAATCGGCTTTTAGTCGACCATATAACGTGCGTTTGTATTGCCCAAAACAACCAAGGCAAATATACAGATCCTATAATGTTGATGAAAACCCTTGGGCAGCCCAAAAGTCTGGGAGCAGTGTCGTATGCGAGGAATTATTTCGATATCTTGACTGTCTTTTCGAATGAAGTTAGGAGGCTTTTGTTCAGGATGTTCCGTTGAAGACCGTGGGAGGTTCAGCTGATATTTGATTGAATCTCTCGTTAGCACAGTCACTTCTAATTTCACAATTTATTGGAATTTGATACCTTCGCTGGCCTTAGCAAGCAATTAGGTTACCATGTGCGCGACATGTGTGACATCCAATAAGGCTGACTCATTCTGCACTAAACCAATCACCCTAGAGTTATGAACTGAAGGTTTTCCACAGGTTGATGTTGACGCCGAAGAATGTAGGTCATTTGTGGGTTGGTTCTCGTTCTATAGAAGCCCTTTTCAAGCATTGTCACTCCGTTATGAGTCTTCTGCCACCACCAAGCGTACCAATGCGAAAAATAGTTTTGTAAAGGCAAACTCTATGCTCCTTATGTGGAGCGAACCAAATGCTCTTCATTGGGAGGAGAATAAATGCCGTATAAACAGTATAATACAGCCGGTGGCTAGCAAATGTAAACTAGGATGAACTGAATTGTACCCAAGCCTCTCATGTGACGACGAGCAGTTTTCTACGTAGCACTGGTTTGCAAATATGGGCAGAATTGTCTCTGTGTAAAGTGTATTCCCCCCAAAGTTAGCCCAGACATCTTTGTTGACTTTTCCTTATCGTTTTGGGTTATTATTGTTTCGAAAAACTAAAGTGTTTAGCTCAAAAGCAATAAAACCTGTTGTAGCCTAAAGCCTTCGCTTGAGATCATTGCGAATTTGGGACCGCTACTTCGTTCTTATTGAGTTAGGACGTTTCTTTCTGTCTTATACGTTAAATAACATCCATTGTCGGCTTGCGTATTGTTGACACCAATCTGTGGACGTACCCGTATGAGTGGGATTGGAATTGCTGGACGCCAGTGCTCTCATGCTGTATCGGTTGCGAGTCGTCGACGGCCAAGTTGAGATAAGTTTGCTCAAACTTCCAACAATTATTATGACTGCTGCATCTGTATTACGATCAAGGTGGTTCATTTTGGGCTGATTCCGGTCGTGGTATTATACGGGAGAATGGCGTTGTTTTACTAAAACTTAAAGGAATTGACGGCTAATGCTTGTACCGCATGGCAGCCTTCAGTGTATTCTGTATTCAGATAGAATATGAGTCAAGCAGCGTGATATTCTCCATATACTCTAACCGGAGAGCTACTAACGTAGTTCATCTTTTAAATTATTAGTTGCTATACGTCCTCCAACTTTGAAGGCAATATTCTTCAGACCTCTATCTGCTGACCACCCTGGTAGGAGAGCAGGTGGATGGGGTGTAGACATTCTCCACTGGGTTGTCAAGGTGCACAAGCAGTCGAACTACGATAGGCATAAAGGATTACTTTCATAGGGGGTCTATGCTGTTAAGCATTATCCCGTTTATTTGTTTGGCTACACTGTTGTTCTTTTTCCGATGTGAATATTAGAGTGGACTTGCATGGATTAAACTGAATCTTTCAGGTCCCTTAGTTCCTTCTTGTTTCCCTTGCTTATCACTCAGTAGTAGCCATTGATTTAGCCAATTGATTTTTGTGCTTAATACCGCTATTTTCATCCATGAAATATCACTACCCCGTCAACCTGTTTGTCTCAACATTAATTGGCCTCCAGGCTGGGCCTTTCTATCCAAATGTGCCAGTCACAGTTCCGTTGTGGGTCGCCGTTTATCTGCGGCAACAGCAAAAATGTCGCATCATCCCGCCTGATTGGATGACAGTTGAAAGACTAACCCAATGCAAAGATCGAGAGGAATCGGATTCCAACTGCACAGACCCACCTCATCGGCAGTACATGGAGATTACTACACTACTGTTACATCATGCTCCCGATGACATGCAGAAGTAGGTGTTACCTAGATTAATTTGTTTGATACTAGTGCCTAGGTGTTGATAGTCGTTGTCGTATTTTAAGTTACTGTGACTTCAGAAGATTCCCCTAAAACTCGCAGGTTTTTGCGTAATGTGGTGAACATGATGCCCGGTAATTTTGTAAGTCTTCGTACCCTCCATTTGAATCTCCTAATTTGAAACCACTGTCCAAATTCAGGTAGTTACTGTGTTCATCCTTTTCCCTAGCTCGAATCCGTAGAAATATATCGTCAGAATGTGGATTGTTTTTGATACAATTTGGTTTAACATAGTGTTTATGACCGTTTCATTATACCGTGAGGGAAGCTCAGGGAAAACCTTAAGAATAGACGTAATGCACTACTCATAAGGTTGCGGAAAACTCTTCAACAGCCCACGACCGGTTTTCCCCTCCTCGAGACTCATCAGGTAGGTGTAGTCCCCCGAGTTCCGTCAGCCTTGTTTTATTTGAGCCCAAATTGCACGAAATTAGCGGAATACACTCATTTACCAGCCCTTTGGTTTTCGGGGAGACTCACCTGGAATCCAGCGGAATCTCTCGTTTGTGGTGTTTTTAAGCAACTGAATGTGCTATACTAGGCCGCCTTATGTTTCAGTTGGTACGATGTGTTTTTTTAACATCGTAACTCAACTGAATGTGCTATACTAGGCCGCCTTATGTTTCAGTTGGTACGATGTGTTTTTTTAAACATCGTAACTGAGAGACTCAGCTGAGTTCCACGTGAGTCGGAAAACCAAATTGGTTCGCAAATGAGTGTATTTCGCTAAAACCTTCTGCAGTAGCTTTCAAAGCCAGACCTGCTGAATCTCTCATTTACGATGTTTAAAAAACACCTTTTACCAACTGAAACATGAGGTGACCTAGTATAGCACATTCAGTTGCCTAAAAACACCACAAACGAGAGATTCCGCTGGGTTCCAGGTGAGTCTCCCCGAAAACCAAATGGGTTCACAAATGAGTGTATTTCGCTAAAACCTTCTGCAGTTGCTTTTAAAGTCAGACCTGTTGTCATTGATGTTCACAATTCCTGTTTAGATTGGCTGAATGACCATCTTTATGGTTTACAGTAGTACCTTGTTCGTGAATATTAAGGATGTATGGATGAGCGTCAGGTGCACTTATGCTACCCGCTACCGATCGAAAACACTAGCAGGAGAAATCGAAGAAGGTTATAATAATCGTACCTAGCACCTTTTCAGTATCTAGCCACCGTCTAGCCCGAGAGGGGTACAAGGGCTGAAACACTGCCAGGTTTCCAAAGCTTTGGCAAGGGTAATTGAGTTACAGGGATTGGAATCGGACCACGGATCTTCGTATCATTAAATCTCGCTATATCGAGCTCCTAGCACGAAAGGATTGTGTAGTGTCTTCGTTTGGCCTCTACTTCCAGCTCACCGGGTTGGTCCGTTAAACACTTTGCTTGGGGAATTTTAGTCCGTACGTTTGTTGAGAAAATTCTTCACTTTCAAAATACGCCGTTGTTAACTTGCAACCCTGGTGAATTTCTCGTACGATCTGCCAACACAGCCACCGGCAGGTACCATTTTCCGTTTCAATGTTCTGTCTTATCTCACCGTTTCCTGCTGTTTATCGTAGTTCGGGCACGACTTTTCAGATTTGGGATTCCGCTGTCTGAACTGANCGGGCTCGTCAGAATGACCCGTTATATGGGAGCGATTCCTATTGAAGGGCTCGACTTAATTCCCAGTTTTGTTTATGGTAGCCATTTGAAGCAGCGTTATCAAGGCTTAATTCCCTAAATAATCTTATCCCACCCAAACTCGTTTATGGGGCTAAGTACACTCGAATCCTTGTTGGGGTAAAATGCCGTTTTTCCCAAACGCTGTGTGATTCGCGAAACTTCCTGTAAGATTTTTCTGCAGCCTCGACGTCCATCACTATGTCGTCTGCTGTGGATCGTATTTGTGTTCTCATCTCCATATTCACCCATCGTTGTTTGCTGCGTTTTATGAGCTACCATCATCTCCATTCTTCAACTACAATAGTTTTTTTTTATTTTGGTGTCTCCATTGACCAAAGGTCGTCAGAGTAAAAGGATTGCTTGCGCAGTGTGATTGTGATTATCGATCTACTACACTGTGGACATAACCCACTCGACAGAGCCACTCTGAAAGGCCAAAATTTCAGCACTTCTTGTCCGGATTAACGGGAAGACGCTTTTGTGAGGTACACGTGTCACATTGACCTCAAGGATTTTGAACTCCAGATCGCAGCTGTTAGCTCGTTTGCAACATGTTTCAAGAGGTGCTGTCTGAAATCAGACATTCCATCTAATTGTTTCAGTTTCGATGTGGCATTCAGAGGAAGAATAAGCCATCCTGTAAAATGTGCGAAGTAGTAATTCATACCGGGCGTTCCCTGGATAGCATATATTTATTTAGATACTGTAACACTCGTTTTAATGTCTACCCAATTATTCACATCATTTCAAACGGAAATTTGTCACCTGTAAAAGACTTCGATGTCTGACGATTTTGTATACTATTTGGACTATTGTAAAGTACTTCTTACTCCGTTACAAATTCAAGAAGACTGTTTTCGTTAACTTCTACAGTGTTGGCCTGTGGAGGCAGCAACTACTTGTCCGGAGCGTATAGTTACTCTTACCCAGCATTTTGCGCAAGTTCACAACTAATGATCAACATTAATAGATACAGTTCTTATTTTCTGTAGATACCGAATACAAACTTTCGAGAAGCGTACCATTCATTATAAAGATACAGGATTCCTCACTTATTTTGTGCGTTTGGTTTCCATATGATTTGAATCAATACGACTACCGCGTCGAACTTCTGACCCCTTGTTTTTATCATCAAAGCACCAAAACATACAACATTCGACAACTTTTCACATTTGTACCTGAAATTTATTCCACCACCCCCAGTCCTGAATCCATCCGAGCCATCGTTCGTGATCTTTGGGACCTACGTATTGGCAAGTTAGTGTCTTCTGTCACGGGGTTCATCTCGAGCGGCACATCCACCGCCCGCGTTAGCCAACTGACCAATTTGGAGTTAGCAACACTGCGAAACTTTCTATCAAACTCAATGGATCAGTTGTCTATACTCAGACAGGCTGCGACAACAAGTATGATCGATAGCAGCCTCGGTCGAACCAATCAATCATTGCTTGATTCTTCTTCGTCCGGACAGTAAACCTGAAAACATGCACATCCTACTTCTGTTCCACAGTAAATTTTTCGCACTTAGTCTTCTATTTTCATATATTTTACATACACTGAGTAAAACACTTTTGATGGGTTTTTCTTTCTTATACCCACATGCAACGATTCTAAACAGAAGGTATCTGTTCGTGGTTATCAGCAGCGCTTGTTACGTCTAATTGTCGTGGGCATTGTTCATTATTTGCAAGTGTTAGTGTAATTCCAAAACATGCAGTTGGAAGATGCGATGTGCTGAGTTGTCTTTATCAACATCGCGTAATGGCCAGTCAGGCAGCAACCCACATAAGGCTGCTTACTCAGGATGATGGAAAATACGCTGGTTACTTCGAACTGTCGCCGTCATCTATTGGTATTTCCATCATTTTGTTAGCCTTTAAGGATTTTCCGAAGTATGTAAGAGTAAGCGTTGGCCGCGTCTGACATTAGTTTGAGGTTCAGTCCCGGATGTAGTCGGCTTGGGTTGCCCTGTGACCTGATGCCGCCAGAAAGTCACCTATCGACCGACACCAACTCAGCAACCAGTTGTTTCGCAGTTAAACAAACGACTTACACTCCGAATCCGACTGACTTTTGTAGATCGTGGTCCACACATGTAGCTTAGTGTTTGTAGAAACGATCGGAATTCTGCGATTTTGAGATCAGAATGTATGATGGCTAACCCACTCATTGTAGCACTTACTGCCGAGAATTTCAAGGATTGTGAATAGCTAAATAGGCTAGGTTCGGAAATCTCGACAACAGCAAACTATTTCAATGTCTCGGCATAAGAGTCTACACTATCTGTACCGCAAAAGTATATGAATTTATTCAATAGACAATTGTATTCCAGACGTTGAACTGCTGGGGGACTGCTGCGCAAGAGTTCCAAAATGGACCGTAGCCAAAATTCACTTTGTATTGGAGTAACTCTGAGGTTACCGAACGTAAGGTGAAGCCAACGCTATTTGTATTCTAATACGAACCCATGGATTTGCATTGAAAAGACTGGGTGATGCTGTTTTTACCGGTTTCTGGGAACGGCAAGAGGTGCCTCATTTTCACAAGGAGTTAGCTGTGAATAGGCATTTGTGTATGACCAGCAGTAATGATATCAGGACGCTGTGGGTGCTGGCTTCGTCAGTTGTTCTCTAAGAGGAGTGTTGGTTTCTGGAGTGCTCAATTGCAAATTTAGTGTATTTGGCCTGAAAGAGTAGTAGACCCTCTCCCCTCCTCCACCTACAGAGTGCACAATCAGAATGAAGGTGCATGAACAGCTCTGCGTGTTGACGTATAAAGTCCTGTTACTTAACGCCAGTCCTAATCGGCTCGCTTGACCCTCTTTGGTGTGGGAATTCATGGGACATACGGAGCATCCTGGACGGTCTCCTGCTATCCAGCAAATGAAAAATCGCGGTTGCCCACTAATGTGCTTCACTACTCTGAGTTTGAGATAGCTCAGTGGTTAAGGCGTAAGATTACGGACCGGAAGGTCCGTGGTTCGAATCCAACCTCTCAATCTCAACTGCTCCTGTCTAGGCTTGGGTAACCCCCGTGCCTCCTTTCTTTGGCATGGCAGCTAGGGTCCAAAAGGGTGCTGAACCATTTTTTACGACCCTGCTGCCCTGGGGGGGGGGTATTTTTTTCGGCCAAAGGCTCCATTCCGGGTGAGGCTTCCTGGGCGAACTCAATTCGGCCTGAACATCCGCAGGCGAACCGTCAAATCACGACGGACCAAGGACTCGACTGCTTTCACCTCTATGTACCGCTGTTTTACAGAAAATATCGATCTTCTTCGACTCTTCTGTGTACAATATCGTTGGAACAAGCTTCTTGTCTTCTGTATCAGGGACCGAAACCACTGTACCGGATGAGCACACCAATAATCCTTGTAACAGTTTCAGCTGGTTGCTTTCGGACAAAAAACAACTTGAGCATACTGTTCGAATCTAAATATTTCCGTGTCGGATACTTTTGAATGGCTGCAGTCTGCTTCTACAATTACGCATTTCATATTCGAACCAGAATTTGGTCTTATATCGACGTCGCTCCGGGGACATTAAACTTCACGTTTTGATTATCTCTGCCTATGCACTTACCGGTGGCAGCTCCGAACCAGTCTAATATTCCTACAATCAGCTCAATGGCTTGCTAAGGGGGATTCCGACACTGCCACTGCTGTGTACGCCGGAGATGCGAACGGGCGTTTCGGCTGTCTGATTTGAGGTGGAACACTGACCAGAGGTTTGTATTGCATAAAAGTTATTTGACGGGACACTCGCAGTCGTTTGCTTTGTATGGAGGCCAACCTACGAAGGCGCAAAAGCCGTCGTGCAACCAAGCACTTACCGTTAGCAGTACTGTTGATTCAACAGAATCCCTATCTTGAATCTTCCTTGGCGCATAAATCGCGGTTCCACGCGTTCACAGTCCTGTAATAGTTCCTTGTTCGGTGCCAAGAAGAAAAAAATAAACTAAGCCACACGTTCACTCAGGAGTCCCCTGAGGGAAATGAGTTCTATTTCGGAATTTACTTAACAGGTGGCTTTGCTTTGTTCGGCCGAAATTCTAACCCAAGAAGATGACAGTTTCTGTTGGCGAATGTATTTGGTTATTTCGACAAAATGTCGGAGAACCGAGCGGGAAAAAACATTTTTATGGCTGTCTGCTGAGCCCGTCTGACCTGACACCAAGAACAAGCTGGTTTATGCAGCGTATGTATCTTCAAATATTCTGGATAAAAACGCGTATACTAACAACCCATTGTTTCTTACCTGGGCGTTCGTGCTGATTTGGACGTACTACGTACGTACTACGTTTTGGAACTGTCTCACCAAAGGTTACCTGCCGGCTATGTTTTTAAAGACCAAAACGCTCGCGTATGCCTGGATGAACATCCAGTTTTTGTCTATCTCTAAATGACAAAGGGACCTCGACAGGGTTGTCCAATATCACCGCCACCATCGTAATCGACATTCTAAGGACTGGTATAACAGTGTGTACTACTTATTAGGCATGCGAGTAGCCTGTAGTCGTATCGAAGCCCATCCCCGCATCTAATGGAAGGTGGAGTTTATTACGGAACTTATGGAACCACTTCGCAATGTTCGTTTGCAATTTTAATAGTCAATGAATATCCATGGAAGGTTGTAAATCTTTGTGCCTTTCCCTTCAGACGTATGTAGGACGTCGTTTGAGTTCAGCTTGCAGCATGTGATATCCTTACATAGTTTGTCCTTTGAAAGTAAGGGTAAGCGTTGCATAGACGTAGTACACTGCTCATAAAATTGCTGAGAACCCTTCGACAGCCTACAGTCGATTTTGCTCTTCTTGGGCTTATCGGGTAGGTGCAGTCCCTGAGTCTCCGTCAACCTCATGTTCTGGTTGAACCCAAATTGCCAAGTCGATGTTCGTCTGCATACCAGTTTGGTTTTGACGGCAGACTCACTTAAAACTCAAATTAATCTATTGTTTATGATGTCCTGCTTTTCTGAAGTTAAGTGACCACAGACATGTGATTGTCAGCTGCCTGATGGGACCTGAAAAGTCTGCTCTGGTTACTGTTTATGGGATTTCCAGTAACTAGAGGGAAGCCATTAGGATGTTCCCATACTAGTGCAGAATGAACTAAGATTAATGCTCCGTGAAGCTCCGTTATTTGTAATCTCCAGGTTGTCTTTTGGAGTAGACAAAGTCAATCCACTTGTCTTTCATTGAAGAACTAGCCTGGTCAATCAATGTCTTCGCTCAGGTCATTTCTACAGATATTTCACCTATAGTGCAATCTGGGTTAGGCACCATCAGTTGTGGTTGTATTGCTATTCATTTGATCTCGGTCATACTTTTAAGACAAAAACAAGCGTGGTATACCGCTGAGGGGAGAAACATTATCCATGTAGACTGACGCTTACAAATGCTATAAGTCTTTCGTAGAAACTTTTACTGTGATAAATATCGTCCCTTTCTTGCTTCTGTCTTTGGAAGTGATTTTTCGGGGACCATCCTATTTTTTCTCCTCTGCTTTTTCAAATGTGATTTATTTGGTTCCGTATTCCGCTTTCAGGCTAGCTTGTCAACGCAGGATCCTTCCGACTCTTCCGGGAAATTACTTCAGGTATCATCAAAACATCGGTTGTCAGATCCTCGATGGCCCTGTTATCTGTCTGACTGTGTGTCGGAGAAATGGCTTCCGGATGACATATGTGTTCAGCTATGGAATGGACTTGGAGAGAGTCCGACCGTTCACTCGCTATCGTATGCCAAGTTTGAAGAGTTCTCCGACAACCTTGCAGCAGTACTTTTCAACCAGTGGATGAAGTTCAAACTCCACTCAACTGCAAAGCGAATTGTCGCTATTTTGTGGCGCCCTCATATTCTCACGAGTGTCGCCGTCCATAGCGTTGTTAAATCCGGTGCAGCTTTCTATCCGGTCGCCTACGAGTTTTCCGCGGATTTGTCCCTACTTGGTGATCAGCTAATAGCCGTTATTTGCTTGAGCAGCTCTGCACCACGTGCTGAAGTGTTTGAATCTTTTGATGCTTATCGCAGCGACTCGGAAATGTTTCGACGAAGTGATTGGTGCTTATTTTTGCGTCGCCCACCCAACGTTCATCCTCCGTCTTTTTCATCTGAAATACCAAATAACCCCACATCTTTATTAGCATATGTGATCACAACTTCCGGGAGCTCTGGTGGTTCAAAGAAGCTAGTATTTGTAGCCCACAGTTGCTTGACGGCCAATATTGTTGATCTGCAAGGCCGGTTCGGTACAACTGATGTTGGACAACCAGAGGGCAGGACAGTGCTTTTGACGGCTCCACTGACTTTTGATCCCAGTCTTGTCCAAATCTACTTCGCATTGGCTACCCGCCGATGTTTGGTTTGCCCTGGCCCAGGAATATTGCTTCACCGTGATTCACTTTTGTCTTTGTGTACGGAGGCTAAGGTGCAGTGGCTGCAGTGCACACCAAGTTTGTTTATGTCTCAAAGTGCACGTGCACGTGCTAAGCTTCTTGCAAAGCGTGGATTATCGATTATTCTTGGTGGTGAACCGTTTCCTTGGCTGGCACTCCCCAGGCTTCAAAACGCTGAGGCTGCTGTTTACAGTATTTATGGAATAACCGAAGTTTCCTCCTGGGCAACAATTTGCCGTGTGGATCGACATACTGATGATACAGCTAATCGTTGCGGTTGCCCAGCTCCCATTCCTGGATCGACACCAATCGGTTTCCCCATGTTGGCCACTGAATTAAATCTAGGCGCACCAACCACTCGTCACTCATACGTGCTCACTGTCTCCAGAAAATTCGGAGGGTTCGCTGTATTTATTATGAGAGATGCTTCGGTCACAGAAAAACAATTCATCGACGTCGTTGAGACGTTACCTTCGAACGGCCCATGGTCCACTGGGGATTTAGTGACCCGTGGCCGTTGCGAACAATGTCTCTGGTTTGTTGGCCGCACAGACCGCATGATCAAACGTTATGGTCAGCGAATTTGTTTGGAACAATTAGAAATGGCCATCGTCCAGTGCTCGTTACCAAACGCCGATGTGTGTTTTTGTACATGTGACCTATTCGGGCATACCGGTCGCCAAGGGTTACTTGCTGTCGTCGGTGTATCGCCTCATTCAACTTTAAAGCAATCCTATCTTCACCGGGGTCGCCAAAAATTTCGCTCTCATATCATCAATCACGTAAAACGGTGTTTCGCCCCCAATTACGTCCCTTGGTTACCAACCAAGATTATATTTTGTGGACGAGCGCCGTCTTTCTCGCCGCATGGTAAGATTCTCCGGAGACCTCGTAACAAAGGTCGTTTGACCGTGACGTATATCTGGAATAGATGGGCCGCGGCAGCTGGTTCACCGGGACACCATCTAAACTACGACTCCACTTTTTTTGAAATCGGTGGCTCTTCTTTGCCGGCTCTGCGTCTAATCGAGACGCTGGTTCAGCAGTACCCGAACTTAGTTACTTCTAAGGAAAAGCTCCTAACACTGATTTTTACCGCTGATTTTCGGAGTTTCGTACAGCATTTGCTGGAAGCTCGAGATAGAACACCCATTCTTGTAGACCTCAGTTCGAGTACCCTGTTGTCCGAGGCTGGAGAAGCTGACCAGCTCAGTTCGACACCGACAAAATGTACCCAAGCAATTAATGGAGGAAACATTCTACAAGCCACACTGCATTCAACAAACCAGTTGTTGTTGGAGCTTCAGTGGACTTCTCACCTGGGGAAGTGCGTTGATGCGCCTGCTTTAATTGTTTGTCCCACTTCTGGCTCTACTTCAAGTCCAGTTGTCTGCATTGGAAGCCATTCAGGTCAGCTGGCTTGTTTTGATTTAATTACAGGTGAAAAACAGTGGTGTGCAGATGGATCAGTAGTCGGTGGCCGCATAGAAGCTGGAGCAGCTTACGCTTTATCAAATTCAGTCGAGTTCGTATCTGTGGGTACGCTAAGCGGAAAATTGTGCACATTTGATTTAGCCTCTGGGATGTTGTTGTGGACTTTTGACACCGGAGGTGCCATTAAATCTGCCCCAAAGAACTTACACAGTCGGAATCTATTCGTTCTGGGGTCACATGGACGCGCAATTCATGCAGTTGATGTTCGTTTTCCCCTCCGAGCGACTTGGTCGAACACATTTGATAATTCTCCCATTGTTTCTGAGATTTCATCTTACGATGATTCGGATACGTATTTGTTGGCAACCAGCTTAGGGGGCACCGTTGGTTGTATAGATATTAGGAAACCATGTGTGCTTCTTTGGAAGAGTGGTGGTATGGCCCCAATCTTTACTAAAGCAACGCTTTCTTGTTTATCCACAAATGAGCGTCGGGTAATGATATCAGCTGTAGATGGGCGGATGCGCTCGTTTGATTCCTTATCGGGACAGCTTGTGTGGCAGTCGACGATGAGTCTGCTTGATAAACAATGTCAGGTTTTCAAGGACCCTCTATGGGATCCACACGACCAGGAATTGCTTGTTGCTTCAAACTGTGGATTACTCTTCGGGGTCGAGGCGTCCACCGGAACATCAAAATGGGTTCTGGATTGTCGACCTAACGCGACCGGAAACGGACCTACCCAGCTAAATACCCCTTCAATAATCTACGCCTGTACAGATTCTTCCACAGCCCGGAGAAAAATAATCGTATTGAGCCGAGCTGATGGTAGGGTCCTAATCGGAGCGTACCCCAGTGCCGATGAGACATCGAGGGACAGCCATCTACTTTCAACATACACCTGTTATCAGCTGCCGAATCACTCGTTCTCATCCCCTGTGATATGTACAGAACCCGAATCCAACGTCATCCGACTGGCGGTTGGGTGTCGCGATGACAATTTGTACTGCTTTACCCTGAAGTAATGGAAAATGCACTGCTCAAAAAAAAATTCATTCCGTTTTACCTTGGTCACCTTCAGGTAGCTCATTCGCTGAGGCGAGAAGCTACTAACTGAAGGGTCCATGTCTTCAACCAAACTCTGTCCCCTCGAGTGTACCTATCTAGGCTTAGACGCCCTGTCAATATCTAAGACTCCGTGGTTTCTTCGGGTTTCCGGGCAGCGAAGAACCAAAGGTATATCACAGCTGAGGGCTGATCTTGTTATTATATTTTTCACTATGGTCACTGGGCGTCGGAGAACGGTACGTCTATCCAAGGCCTCATTCATTTTCCTTAAATTGCAACACAATTTCCGCTTGCATAGGGGTGCGAGGCTGAAACAGGCACTGTAGAAAAAGCCCGCAAATGCGTGTACTAAGCACCGTCACTGTAGAGGTAGTCGCTGCTGTAAAGTGGATGTGACCTTGAGGCGGCCGGAAGCAACCAATAATCATTTAATTAAACAATTACCACTAATTAATCGAATAATGGTAATGGAGGGGGTCCGATGTGGACTTGTAAAATCCCGTAATTGGTTAGTAAGACCAATTTTGAAGGCCCCGCATTGTACATACAACTGTCTCTGCTACTCGATGACAGGGCATGCATATCAAAGGCAAGCGTTCCCGGTTTCCTTACTCAGGACCTACGTTTTCGAAGATACGTGGTAAAAACGTGAACAAAATGCCGTTGAAAGTGCATGGTGCCTGGGATGCTCGAGCAGGTTAACGATCCTGTTGGAAGCAGGCTTTACGCGTTGTCTCTTTTCGATGGGCACCTGAATGGAAATTCTTACATATTGTTCCCACTCTAATAGCATCATTCTTATCAACGACCGCACGTTTCAGTACACGGGTGGAACGGCAGTGCCGTTGTGATGGAAACAACAGGATCACATGGCATGCAAACCATATTTATTTTCATTACAGCGAAATCAAGACCCACAGCACTAGAACTTTAGCGAGTAACAAGTCGACCTGTATCCCTTTAACTTATCTTAAGCCAGACCTGTCTGTTATTCGCTCATCAGGCTTGTCCGCGCATACGCCACAATCGACAGAGTGGCTCTCACAGTTTCAAACGCTTTGTCTGCTCACCTTGGGTTCGTCACCGTCCTCTTACAATTCTGAGATGACTGCAACTGAAATACACTTGTTTGTTTTAAGAGCTGAATGGTTTGATATATCCATATCGTAAGTGGTTACAGAAATACTGCACCTCTTTCCTGAGGCTTACTGACTGAACTCATTCCTTCCTCCCTCTCTATCAGGCCAACATAAACGATGCGTGATAATCCCGCTCATTAAGCTTCGGGCTTCTACAACAAATGGTGAACGGAAGCTAGGTAAGTCAGTTCTTGCATGGGGTTATGGGGACTGAAAAAGAAACCAGGGCTTTCTACATTGGATCGAAGAATCTATGGACACAGGTACAAAGAGGACTGCGGCTAGTTGACATTTCGGAAAGTTCGTTTAGTCATCGGGAGAGCCATTAAATGGCAGGTGATATTCTCCGATTCTGTTAAGTGATACAGTCAAAGATACTGCTGCTCGATGTCGTGTCATCGGTTGCTCATGGTGTTAGTCTCCAGTCTGGCGCGCGAGTCTTTCCGAGGACAGTAAAAGAACACAATTCAGCCAACAGACTCGTTACAACAAATCATTTATTTGGTGTGTACAGTCTTTCGCTACAGACTCGTTACAACAAATCATTTATTTGATGTGTACAGTCTTTTTTTCGCCCCTTCATTGCGCACTCTATCAGTCGGTTCAATAGGATCTACCTGGTAGGGGTAGACATGTTCATTGGGACGATGGTCTGCAACAATGTCTGAATACTGTACGTCAGCTGACAAACTAATGTAGACAAGCTCCGTTTCCACAGCTTATACGTCGGAAAGTACGTTTTTCGACTACACTTCACAAAAGTAGAAAATGGAGAAATCGGCAATATTTGGGGCCCACTTGGTGTCAAGTGCACAGAGCAATTGCTCCTGGACTCTGTTTTATGAAGGAGAGTATATGTTTCATAGAATATCCGATCACATAACCGCCCTATTCAGCGATGTATGTGTTAATGGAGCACTCGAGGTATCTTTCTACCCTAAGTTCTTCGGGTCAAGTAATAACCGAAGGCGGTCAACAACGTGCGCGACTGACCAACCTCGTTGACGAAGTTTCCCCCGAACTGGATTCATCAGAGCAATATTAGGACGAAATCGTCTTGCCTGTTTTATAGTTTACACGAGACTAACTGTAATGCGTTTTTCTTGACGCAACGCTACTTACAAGATTGCTGGAGACTAAGAGAGTTCACTATAGCTTTCGCTCTTCCTGAGACAACAAAACTGTCAATAAAGTACACTTCGATATCTCGAATATCATCAAATGAAACGAGATGCAGTCTCTATGCGGCACATTCCGTTGAAGAATATCGTAGAGTTGGGATTCAGATAAGTCCCCCATCATCACGAACTTAATTCTCAAGAATGTAGTCCACCACTCGCAGCGCATAGTTTTTGAAATGAGTACTGAAATTCGCCAGTCTCTTCCATTTGACACAGCTAACGCTTGTCTCACTTTTCTATTAGTTCACGTTTCGGTGTGGGATAGGTACACAAACAGAATTTATCCGGACCTGACGTGATGCTCCGTTAGCTTGAGCGTCCACATGAAAAGCAAGAAACCTACTGACCAGCGGACAAGTGTAGCAGTTGACTGCGTCACCTCGAGGAGTACAGTGTAGACCACCACCGAAATGTCCATTTCATTGACCTCCTTTACTGAGTTACAAGAATGAAATTCATACAACTAAGCTTTCGCGAAATCTGGCGCTTACTATTTTTGGGTATTGCGTAAGCATATGTTATTTAGACCCCGCGTTTGACCTTCATATGACTTCCGCCCCCATATCGCGGTACTTGTGACCACTTCGTGACATCACAGCAACTCGTTTCGCGGACAGATCTTGTTTACTGGCACAGTACGTCTCTCCGGTTTACTCCTAGACAAGAATCTAAACCATGTCACGCTCGAAAGATATCGCAAGCGATAGGATTTTTGTCGGACAAAGCTACTAAATTAGTTGCGTCATCAGTCGGTTACTCATTTACTTTTGCTGGAATGACGTCAGCAAGCGTACCTAGATGAGTGGAAATAATGACCTGTAATATGCTAGTAATTTCGGATGGCCCACGAAAGTCCAGGTGAAGAGATGGTTTTATCCGCTTGGACACCAACTGCTCAACTTCATTCGAAGCATGAGTGCAGGAAGATAAAGCAAGTCCCACGAGAAGTGCGTCCACTCTCGAGAAGATCAGCTGCCCTTCACGGAGAGGGATAAACCCGACACAGTTTCCCACAGAAACTTCAAACTCAAAAGCACATCTCTACTTAAACGTGGTGTACTGGTAAGTAGGAATTCCCAGCCGGTAACCCATAGGAGTGAATCTTGTCAGCTACTAAAATGAATGACGAGGACAGTTAAAGTACTAGAAATCCCACATCCGAGACGAGTGCAAAAATGGAGAAGCGGCTGAATTTACGGTATGAGTTTATAAGGCATTTGAGGAAATCAGTACCATGTCGACCTAGAAAATCCATTCGATTAATGAAGCGAACTTACACCGAAGCTCAACTGAATTCTACAAGTGATCAACTTGTTGAGAAGTCCTGCCTGCAGAAGCGGTTTGCCTACTTACATTTCTTAGTACGCAATCATAAACGAGAGTTCCAAGTGATATGCAAATGTGTATTCATCGAATTTCGTGCAATTTGAGGTCAGGTGAAGCATATGGAAAACTCGGGGACTACGCCTCCCTAATGAGCCCCAAGAACAGCTAAACCTGTTGTGGGCTGTCGGATTTTTCAGCAGCCTTGCGAGTAGTTTCCCTCGATTGTCGTACCACCTGAAACACGAAGCGGCCTTCGTGCAGCACATTCATTTGAAGAACAGCATGAACGAAAGATTCACTCGAGTCTTCTGTGAAAACCATATTGAAATGTAAGTGAGGGTATTTGTCGGAAAACAGTTCTGTTTTCTACGCTTGGTTCGGAGTTGCATAATTTGGCGAGGATAGAGCGCAATTTGGCGGAGCGTTGAGGTGATTAAGAAGTGCGCGTCAGTAACAATAAGGGTGAAATAAATCGTCCAGCTGAGGTGATTAGGAATCGAGGACATTATTGCTAAATACGAAAGGACAGAATCTGTAATGTCTAATGCCACTTAAGGCGACGACCCCAATACAAGCGGCTGTAGCGCATTCTGGCATGGGTCGTTTCTAACCTTCGCTTTGCGTAATTTCCGTGGCGGAATGAGCTGCGCATATTGATGCTGCAATTAACAGCTTTTGTAGACTATTTGCATCTGTTTTAATAGTTCCGACAATATGATTAAGAGATGGATTTTGTTAGATTCGAGCACTTCGCATTGAATTATCCATGCAGATTTGCAACGTGACGATTGAGAGAGCGGCTCGTGATGACCGGGTCAGCATTCCCCTCTTAGCTATATTGTTCGAATTTCCATGAAGGTTCACCGAAGTTGATTTGTTGGTAATTAGAGCCTTTAATTTAGTAGTCTGATCTGAATCATAGCGTTCATCAACGCCATAGACGACTACACTGCCGCACAAACAAAGGCTTTATTCTGATAGACTCTAAAGCGGTAAGAAATAAATGGAGAGGTAAGATACCTGGTAAAATACCTGGCGAAGCCTAGACAAAAGCAACCGAAAAACGGGTTGGTGACTAACACACTCAGCAATTAACACTGACGGCTGAGTCATCGCGAGCTCAAGAACTCAGAAAGAACAGCTTGTCGAACGACAACTAGGTATACGTAAGTTTGCCTAGTCGCCGCAGTTTTTAGTGCTGAAAGGCTTACACAACTCTAGCGCACGCTGTACAGCTAATCATCCGTTTTCTTGTCACAGTGCTCTCTCTGGACTGGTCAAAAACGCGATTTCCATTTGGATGCACAAACTCTGAACCAGACGGCTATGGGATTTTTCAGCTGGTTTGGCACGACCTTTACTGTGAAAGAGGGATCGCGCCGTCGTGGAAAATGGCAACCCACGTGAGCCTCATCAGAGCTGAACCTATGAGTGCTCACAACTCCCGCGACCACAGCCCGTTGCAAAAACACATTCTGAGCGGCATAAAAATTCATTGCAGAATTAGAACCAGAGCATAAGAGACATAATAAGCAGGTAGAAATAGGCCTCTCTTACTCAAGACGTTACAAAAAGAATCGCGCAAGAGCAACTTTCAAGGTTTATACAGTCCATCAAGGATTTTGCTACTCGATAGCTTCACATATTGCCGATGTGCCCCTGCACAGGACTACCGGTTACCAGGTGTACCTAGTTAGAAATCGGAAGANTGCTCACAACTCCCGCGACCACAGCCCGTTGCAAAAACACATTCTGAGCGGCATAAAAATTCATTGCAGAATTAGAACCAGAGTATAAGAGACATAATAAGCAGGTAGAAATAGGCCTCTCTTACTCAAGACGTTACAAAAAGAATCGCGCAAGAGCAACTTTCAAGGTTTATACAGTCCATCAAGGATTTTGCTACTCGATAGCTTCACATATTGCCGATGTGCCCCTGCACAGGACTACCGGTTACCAGGTGTACCTGGTTAGAAGTCGGAAGAGGATTTTGCAATCAGTTTAATCCCGGTACTTATGTTTTCCACCTCACCCATATAGCATAGGTCAATTTTGACAGAATCCAGTCTCCAGTGAACAGACTTTCGGAGTCTGAAAACTGATTTCGAGGTACTTGGGTTAGCTACCAGAGACATGCATGGGATTTGTTACTAAGGCTGACACCAGGAAAACAAAACCGTCGGCCTTAGTGGTGGCATCTGTGATGGGGTTACTGGCAACGGAGTAAGGTAGAGGATGATAAAGACATGAAAGTGTGGCGATGGGAGAGTTAGTAGTACCATGCTCCTCTTACTGTTTGCGTCAGGTGAAGTGACTCGCGCTAGCGAGGGCAGACAAATCAGTGGGAGTGGTGAATTTATTGCTTTTAGGCGAGTTGATATACTGCCAGAACACCCACACCTAAACAAAAACTAAAGAGGTACCAAATCAAGGCCTAATTTCAAATGCGGAAGATGAGTGGCGGCACGCTGCGCATCACGATAAGGCGCCACAGCGGCCCGGTAGACTCTGACTGTTCAGCTTCTACCCCCTTTAGGTACAACCCTATCATCCGGAATGCCTGTTGTGCTAGTAGGCTCACGTCGCTAGACATGCTCCCAAGTGGTACTATTATCATCTCACGGCCGAGTGAAAAAAGTATACTCGTCACTGGCCTTGCATATACCAATCAGTACTGCATCGATATTCAGTGTATATCTCTCACGTCAAATCCCGCAACCGAGCCCCTCACACAAGGCTAAGAAACATTCCTATCCTCTTACTTACGTCAGTATACCAGAGCGTCACGAGTGCAGAGAATATTCACAAGTGTTTCACAGTAGAATAAACTAACGATTTTTCACCGTCTAGCTGAATTCCGAATAAGTGCAGTCGCCACACAGACCGACCAAGTAGGAGGTTGCTTCCTCCCTTGTCAGTTTTTTTATGCTGTACTTTCAACGTGACTATTAAAAATTAACCGAGTTCACTAGATTCTTCATTGCAACAACGAACTAAGCAAAAAATACGGGTCACTGGACGGCATTACGCATATGAGAAATACACACTAAAGCTGCGATTCGAAGAAAAAAAGAACAAAAGTGAGGGAACTGTATAGCGCAAACAGGGATAATGAACACACGTCGATATGGTCTCACATGGAGTGCAGTACACGTTCCTTGTTGATGAGGTGAGTAGCCTGGTTGATCAGGGTCATCAGGCATTTAGTATTATAGGACCAGTCATTTAATATTTCGGTAGGCGTCTTGGGCACCGTAAAGTGGACTATTCCTTCCAATCGATCGATCTTTGCTGTGATAGTCTTGCCCACCACCAACTCTGACAAATATTTCTCAGCTTGCTGAAACCCAGGAGAAACATGAGTTATGTTAGTTTTATGCGAAAAAGGCTAGTAATAAAATCAGTACTGTTCGAGGGGATCATCGCACTACCAATAAGAGGGCGGTGTCTATGGGCACATTCGGCATGGCCTGTGGAGCAGGTATACTTGAGATGATGAAACATCCACTACGTTACAGACTCAAGAGGATGTTGAAGACCCTTTGACAGCACATGATCGATATCACCATTCTTAGGGCTCATCCAGTATGCGCAGTCCGCAAGTTTCCGTCAAACTTATACTTGAACCTAAGTTGCATGAAATCCGACAAACACTGATCTGCATACCAATGTGGTTTTCACGGGAGACTGACCTGAAACCCTGCTGAATCTCTCGTTTATGATGGTCTTCAACCGAACATCCTGCAACAGGCCGCCTCATGTTTCAGTTGGTACGATATTCTAGATAATGCAACACATTATATGAAATAATACACCGCTGATAAGGTTGCTGAAGAACATTATAAATGAGAAATTCAGCTCGGTTTCAGGTGGATTCGCCGTGAAAACCAAACTGGTATATAAATGAGTGTATTTGCCGAATCCGCCATCCTACTACCCTTTCTTTGGCACTGGAAGACAAGCGGGTCGAGATACAACTTTCCTGCCTGGATGACGAAGTTTTGTTAGCCACCGTTTCCCCTGCTTTGGATGTCTCACAGATTATCCCACATACCCAAACATAGAATTGGAGGTATTCACATTCCAGTTCCATTAGGTTTCTCGACAAACACGTTTAGACGTGCCTAGGTAGTGTTATTCCATTTTTCCTTTCCTGAAGACAGACGCGTCCAAGAAGTCTGCGAAAAGAACTTACTTCAATATCCAGATCAAGCAGCTGAGCCAAACGCTGAAGACGTAACTTTGTGTAGTAGCCGGCAATCACCCGGATATTGCGTTCGATCAACCGTGAGTGTAGATCGTTCCATCGTTTTTCAGCCTTCTCGGGAGACTTCTCCTTGGAGAACACATCGGTTTCCGTGCGAAGAATAGTCTCATATCGCGCGCAAAATTCATCCCATCGAAGAAGCTCAGGGGTTGTGAAAGCCTTGAGCATCTCGCTTGAATAAGCACAATAAAAAGAATAGTGAATATATGACGACTGGGATACGAAGCACGAAATCTTACAGGTTCTGCAAACTGTTGTTTCCGATTTGTGTTTCTTCAACGTCATAATAATCTTCATCACAATCAGCGCCGCGTGATCCTCACCAACTAATGCTACATCACCGAACAACCATATTTTTTCAGAGCTTGATTATGAAAAACAATGGGAGGGTATAGGAGTGACCCGGAGCTTGTAAAAAGACGCTCCCAAACGCCTGCACCTCCAGACATTTATTCAGACAAACTCAAAAGAAGCTGACAACTCTAGTGACGCTGATCACCAGCTACATCCCGGAACTTGTTCAACCAGGTACAGGGCACCCATCCCAGAAGACGAACTACACCAGCAATGGATAAAAGATTCAGCGCTCAACTCGCGCTACGCCGCAAATTATCTTCTTTGTGGCAAACTATCATTCTGTACGTGTGATACACGACCGGGCCATATAACTTGGGGTACTCGAATTCTTAGGTTACGTCCCTGTTGCACCACCGGACACTTATTTCTTGAATTTTTCGTCTCGGATTAGCTGACACTAGTCAACACCAACTGCAGTTCTCATACAACCGTTAATGAAGACCCGGGATTTCTCAGCTCCGCTGCTCGCAGAATTCATATTTCATAAACATACTGTAGCTTGACATAGGACCGATGAGAATAAGGTGTATCATTTTGTCCCCATATGTAACGCAAATTAACAAGCGCGATTCGAGCCTTGAACATCCGTCACACTATTCTAAGCTAATGGTTCCAAAACATGAAAACGGTCCAAAACTAGGTCCTCATCGACCACTTGCCACTTCGAGTTGCTACGCCAAAGTTTCGCCAGGGGAACAACTCCTTGAGACCGAATATAAACACCGATGAACCAACAAAGCTGACAATTGATCAGTCGGTCTCCATAGAGTCGGTTTTGAATACCGCCGCACACAGAGCAGTGACACCAGCTTAAAAGAGTTTGAATGCTCCACCAAGTACAGAACCAGAACGTTATTTACCCAAGGGCATTAAAAATGGTTAGCCCCACGTACTCATACCTTGGCTCAATTAGGGAAGTTCCTGACCATGAATATTGAATAACAAGGTCACTGCAACAATTTGTGTACGAAGACAAACTTATTTATCAACGTCAATCTTCCTTTTACCTCAAAAGAAATATCTATACTGGTACGTTATTAAGTCCTAAAAAGTAAAACAAGGAATAGTATCGTTTTAAACATCACTCGGCACTTTCCTCAACCTTGAGAGAAGCAACCAACGCATTTCTGAACCATTTCCCAATCCAGCAGTTTACTCCGCGAATAGCACGACTGCTTGCAACGATATTGATTAGCAATCACTTCACTCCTGAAAATTCGAGCACAAAGATTCAATAAGAGCGTAAACTTACCTTCCGTCATCAGATGTCCTTTCCAACATCACAGGGCTAAATGTGGACATTCAGCTCCCGCCACCAATGCGCACCTACCTCCTCCACCTCCCCAAATCGTCGGTGAATGAAACTACGGCAGCGACCACCATCGTATGCGGTTAGCACAGCTGACGATGATGATGAAACGTGAACATGAACTGCCAACAACCCTAGCTCAAACAATCCAGTAATCGTACAAAAAAGGGACCGTTTGTACTCAGTGGACGGTCAGCGTTGTAACCAAAAACAAAGATGGGCAGTACACCGACAATAGGAGGCTCTGACTGTAGATCGGTTCGTTGTTTTAACTGGAATTCCACTAATAGCCTAAGAACAACACGGATATCGGTCACAAATGTCGTACTTAACAGATCCGCCCAAAAAAGGAAATGAACCTTCCATGTATACTGTAAGCTTAATTCAAGTCAGACAAAACGGCACGGATAATGTGCAAGACAGGACAATGTTGACAGCAAAAGACGAACAACAGGAACGCTAGTGACTGCGGTCTTGGACCGTGGACGACGAAGCGTGAGATGACGGCTTGTGTACCTCTATGACCCCTTAAGGTACACTAGAGGGTTTCACTGCAACACGTGCTATATTGATCAATGGAGATAGGTATGTAGTCGTTCAGATGTAACATCCTTCCGGTGCCTAGCTGCCATGCCACCCGAAGGAAGCACGAGGGCTGGGATACAGACAGGTTGCCCAAGCCTAGACAGGGAGATAGGTATGACAGACAAATAGTATTTCGAGTTGATTTCGAGTTGCACAGCAATCCGTTGCTCAGAAACTCTTACAACTGCAGTAGAATACCGGTAGCCGGCAGCCGGCAGCCGCCTTGCTGCTCGGAGTTCGGGTCCCAGTTCAGATATGAGCGCCCTGGTAGTACTGTAAGCCACAACAACCACAAATAAAAAGTAGAGACTATCTCATGCCACATCGACTGCATTGCCGTACATTACCTGGGACGTCCTACGTGATAAGTAGTAAGGCAGACTAGTGAAAAAGGCTACTGACGCCTTACCTTCTGCCACTTCTCGTACTCCTTACATCACCCATTAACACCTTTCTCACTCTCTCTCTCGTCAACTCAAAGCACTGGAAATAACAGCTCTCTCCGTTTGTCAGCCTTAACGACAAGTAACGCGTATCCGTCGACAGTGACAGCCTCAGACACCTTGAAATGAGATTTCAAAAAATTACACCTGGTTAACTTCGTTACAATCAATATCCGATCTGTTTGCTTGCATCTGGGAAAAGGAGTCTGTCCCAGACAACTGGTGAGAATCGGTGATAGTACCCGTCCACCTTTACTCTTTTCTTTACCATAAGGCTTTCAAATAGGTCATGGTTGTACGGCAGTGAAGCATCGGTGTTGAACACTGATGTGATGCTGTCGATGATGATGGTGCATTAAGAGACAAGCAATATAAACTGCTCTTGTTAGCAAGACGAAGTCACCCTGCATTAACGTATGCCATCTGTCAGAAATAAGTATCCAATAGTGTAACTGAACTGCCTATCTCATCGCTTTCTTTTCGCTTTCAGCTGTGCACTTCTGGTAACTCAGAGGCCGCTACGGTTAGCTTTTCTGGGGCTCGTATTTCTAGGCTACGGAGCAGAAGTAGCTCCATCTGTATAAAAGCCCAAACATCGTTACAGTTTCAAATAATTGGAAAATACGTTGCTGACATTCAAAGGGCTGGTCGTCCCGAATTAGATACAAGACGTGGAGAACGCAGAACGCTAATTGCAAGCATGTGCTGACCAGCGTTTCTTCGTAGTACCAACCCTCAGAAGTGGAATTAGTTTGATCCCATAATGTCTACCCACGAACCTGCCCCGGACCCAGAGCATTCATGTTGTCAACGGTTAACGATAGCCTGTATCAGTTACTGCCCCTTATTCCAGTGTGGAATCCGGTTATGTGCTAATCAGTTGTGTCTTTTATATGTTTTTCACGTCCATGGAAAATGCTAACACAGCCACTGAGAAACGCACGGACCCGATAACCGGTGACTCGAAAGTCGACCAGATTATCGGTGCTATCATGAGTGCAAAATCCACAAAACCATTTGCAATGACAGAACTTCCACCTGCAGTAGAACCCAGATGAGATACTAGCAGGTTGTCCTGGAAGTCTAAATGCCTGAATGGATTCGAACCACGAACCTTCTGGTTAGCAAGTTCGCGCCTTAACCGCTGAGCTACTTCGAGTTCCGGAAACATCATCAAACATCGGGAAAACTTAGTGTGCACACTGACCAAAAGGCCTGGTAGGTCCAGAAGGCTCGAGGGGATAAAAAAAGCGAAAAACTTCGCAAATGTCTGCAGACTGCACCAGCTGATTAATATGACTGACTCAAGGAAACCTCTAGACGATGAAATAATTAGAAACCACCATTGGCTTCCCAATACTCGGTACCCCCAACATATGACAATAATTCGAGCAGCCATTCAGATGGACATGTACTACTCTCTACCCGGACTGTGGGCTCTTAACAGTAGCATGCACTGTGAATATGGAGCCGTTTTCAGCGTCGTAAGTAGACACCGACAAAATTATGGAATCCCCATTTTGTTGTAACTCGACATAGCGAATAGGATCGTATGTTTTTGCCCGACAGTTGACACATTTCATGGAGAACCGAACCAAAGTTACAAGAAAATCACTTTGTCAACCGGTGTTAATGGAGAAAAGAGGACAATGGATGCTTAGAACAATACGCTAATGACTTCGGGCCCTTTCTCCTTAAAACCTTTGTGGACGAGCCACACGTTTGTTGAGTGTACGGAAAATACCTTGATTCACATTCACCCACTGCTATTTCAGGGCAGCCACAAACCTAGAGGAATCAATGTCAATTCTCTTATTTTCGAAGATGAGAATGCTTCCAGCTAAGGGATGAATGCATCGAATTTAGACGTGGTTAATACCAGCGAGGTGGCTGAACGAACCCAAAATACGCGCGGACCGGCAACAGCTCTGAATTGGAAGGAGAATAATTGCAAGACCATATGGATTTGCGTTCGACGCCTCTTATTTTAGAGTGGACCTCCCGGGACCTGGAAGTGGTGATAAACATATGATTTCGTTCATGCTCAAAAGAGCTCACGACTTCGTAAGCCAAACACACGGAGAAGCTAGACACGGTCTCTACTTTCAATCAGAAACGAGTGGTTTCGTATCTTAGAAAATGAGTAAACCAGCGTTACCGAGCTCACTGAGACTCATTCATTTTACCACAGTTGAGGTACCTACAGCTGCTACTCACTTTCATGAGTAAAGAGTAAAGAGTAAAGTATCTGAACAAGACAATGCAGTGATCCCCATTTTTCTCACATCATCAACGACTGGTTTCCAATTTGGCCTCGTGAAGGTAAGGGAACAAATTGTAGTTCTAATCACCACTTGATTAAAGCCTTGTGGAATAAACAAGCGTAGCAAGTATATGTGGGTCCAAAATCTATGACCATAAAAGGGAATTTGGAGCAGATCTGGGATGGAAATAGGGAAGTCTCAATCAAGATGTTATCCATGCACTCAACGAAAATTGCAGCGAAGCGATTTAATGAAGTAGTCGGGAGAAAATTGCCAGAAGGAATAGCGGAACTCCTTCGCAACGTAACATCATTGAGTGATCTCAGTCTCGTCGCATTTATTCATTCTGGTGAACTTACACCAGCTGATAAGATTGATATCCCGGTGAAGTATAGTTTTCTCTCAGAATAATTGCTGAACGAAAAGCACTCAATTATGTTTACTATGAGCGGAGGTAAAACGCGGGTCATCCTGAACTTTTGTCGTCGAGAGTTCGTACCTCTTTATCCAGTTGTCATCGACCAACTCGTCTGCCCTGACGATGGCGTTGAATACCTCGGTCAGTGTCTGTGTAACTTATTCGCTTCTATCTATGAGAAAAACTGTCCAGACAACTGAAGTGAGCAGGTGTCCACCTTCAGAAAGGATGCCCACAGTGAACTGCTGATTCGACTCTCGTTGTGACAAGCCTAGGCGTCGACAGTCGACATGAAACCTTGGTGTTCCTTGGCTTCAAGGGCGAGTTGGAATCTCCGGACCAGCCAGGATTACTCATCAAGGGATCCTCAGAAGTTTGCACACACCAATCATTCTTTATATCCACAGAGGTCTGGACATGTGTGTATGGACGGCTCTCTGAAAGCTGCCTTGTAACATCTGAGGACAACGTCTACTCTTCACTCCGTCACTGATGAAATACCAAGGTGAGCGCTAGAGACTTTACAAAACCAGTGCTCAAACCACTGCTTATAGGAACCCCAACAATCCGAAATGCACAGACGGCACCGTTTTAACAGAAACGGTAAAATCCATTAGATAAACCAACTATCAGCATGCAATTTCTTGTCGCGCACCTTAGCTGCAAAAAGGAAAGTCATGCATTCAGGAGAACAGGATCAAAACATGCTCCCCTTAATTCTAAGAGTGGAATCAGACGTTATCTTGTATATCTTGCCAGTCGTAGCAGCTCTGACGGAAGTGTCCCATAAAGGCAATGCACGAATCTCGAAGGACCTAATCACGCTCTTCGAAGCATTATTTGTGCCGTCAAAACTGGATCTAAAGGGTTGCATGTACCAAGCTGCAATATAAGGTGTGTTGCCGTACGCTTAAAAGAATCGACCTCTGTGGATGGGTGATCTGAGGTATCTTCAGGTACCTATACCTCAAAGCCGCCAACGAATTCTTACTGATATAACCAGGAAACCGGTGGGAAGCAAGTGAGTCATTTGCGAAAAACATCTGGCATCACACATTGTAGTGGCTAAGACATGTATGAGATGTGCTGAACCACTGCCTACCGAGAAGAACGTTGACCTATATCAGTTATGGACGATTGAGGGATTTGTGGGACACAATCACATCACCCTCATTTGACAGGCCTCCTCCTGTCCCGGCACAATCATTCCAGTGAATTCTCACGATATAGGGGAGGAAATAGACCAGAGTTTTGTTCTTATTAGGCCTCATCAGCAGTACATATCCAAATGTTGAGATTTGACCTCTGATATATCAGGCGAAGCTGATAACACTACTCCATCAGTGCATGCTGGACGCACCTGAACAATCACGCCTGAACAGATAACTGCATTCATGAATGCTCGCCACACGCCCCAGGAGGACTGTTCGAGTGGTGTGAATGTAAATTCTGTGAATCCCGCAACCACTAGTCAAAAATTGCCCTCCAGTTTACAAGCGTCCGTGGCGCCACATGACTGGAAAGTCCCGATAAGCAGGTTAATCCACAGATACAACCAGTATAGTTACTGGGTGAGTATTCCAGGCGTTGGGTAACTATGTTGGGTTTTGCTTGGACTGATCGTTATCCAAGCTAGGCTTGGCTGCGTTTTAGAGTCGTATGCATTTTGATGTCAAGACGGCTAACCTCGTAACGATCTCCAGTTTGTTGTCGACTGTGAACATTATCTGCTGCTGAAGGATACGTATGCTGTGCAACTGAACCGAACTAACAATGTACTGGCCTGTTGCTCTGGAATCGTAGCCCACTGAGTGAACGTACTGGGTTGTCAACTCCAGCCGTAAGAAAAAACGCGCTGTCCCGCGTCACTGCAATCGGACATCCGCCAAAACGAAGAGCTGGTGGTGTGACTGTCGCTCAGATTGACCTTTAGAAATACTGACAGGACAACCGTTTAGGTACGCTTGTCCTTCTGAGTGCCGAAGGGTAGTGAACTTTACACCAACACGATGAAGTCACGTGATTAATAGATAGTGCCGGATGCCCTCAAATGAAATGACTATCAGCCAGCATCCGACTGCATTCAAGTGTAGAGAGAGGTCCCATATGCTCCATATGCTGTTACCTTTGTTAACGATTACCTGTTGTTGGACATAAACCATTGGTTACTGAGGCAGTTCCTTCAAAACTGAAAGGCACTACAGCAAGCAAGTTATCAGAAGACGGATTTCTGGAGGGTAGTTATTTGAACTTTGCAAAATGCCTGCGATAATCTGGATTCCTAGTCTAGCAACACGCCAACAGTCAATAAGCAATAACTATTTTTGGCTTAACTGGTGGAATGAGGTTATGCAACAACAAGATAAACGAAATCTCAGCCGCAAGTGTGGCTGAACAGACAGTCTGCTGAGATGATCGGAAACTTGGACGATCAATGAAGCCCATCTACGTAGCCTGGTTTGCCTCGTTCATTTCAGCCACCACGTTGTTCCTACGATAGTTTCAGCATTTAGGACACTGAGATGGAGCAACACGAACGAATCCGTATTCATAATTTCAATTTACTTCCAGCCTCATGCGATACCCGGTCGAGTTTCGTCATAGCCTCGCGTCATATCCGCAGCGTGAAATACAATTAGCGATGTGTCACTTGGATCAAAGAGGAAATTAACATGACACTAGCTCCATTGAACGCGCAGTCACTTTCACGTGGCACTGCGATTTACAGCTTAAAATCCTCGTTTTCCTTGATGCTTGATTTGATTCTCCGCTGAGAGCAAGACTTTTAACGCGTCCGCTGCTCGCGTCAGTTGTGGTACCTCGGCGACGTTTGCCAGTGACGTATTGTTACATTAGTCACTGGTGCATTTTTACAATATTTGTGATTCCAACACAGTTGTCTATCTTATCGCTTATCTTTTAGCGGACGTGATTTTTGCTCTTACAGTTTAAGAACTGGAGATGGCGGCAGTTTGATTCTATGAAGCTATCGATCAAATATTCAATTCTCATAGTGAAAATCAAGGTCATGTCGTCCCGAAAACTACTCAGCTGTTCGCTGATATGGGACGTGGCCTGTGTCTCAAGCTTTCACAATAACTAATGAAGCCGAAATTTTCACTGCTTTCACAGCTGGGAAATCAAGCAGAAATCCGGGACAAATACGGATACACATTGGAAAGGTGTGTCACCTAGTAAGCCGTTATCTAACAAACAAGGTGCTAGCTTCTTGAGAGGGACAGATGCTAATATTTAGGTAGATTTGAAGGAGGAATGAGGGCATTTATTCTGCTAATACATCGAATATTGTTGAACCTCGTGCCTTGACAGTATTGGCGGATGAAGCAAACTGTCGTATTGCGGAGCCATCGCTAAATGAGTGCACTAATAAAGCCGATAGTAGAATCTCACTTTGAGGTAGGCTAGACTGTACTTGGGGAATTTGGGCGAGTGGCTACCGCCTCTGGAACTATCATAACTAATCCAGATCGCGTCTAAACTGTACGACTAACTTCAGAAACACCGAAATCGAAATAACCGCAAAGATTAAAGGGAACCACGAGAAAGTACTTGGCTTTGCAAGTATGGCGCACGAGACTGCGACCACTTGCGCTAAGAGATCCCCCATAAAATTCATTTACACACCGTACATGTGGATTGGTTCACATCATAATACCGCAGCGGCCTTTCGAATGCTTAGATGAAAAACCATGAAGTTCCACAGGAGGATCTCTCCAACGTGGACTGCGAAATTACGGCACAGTGGAGTCCATTTACTGCGTTAATAATATTTCCAGAACAAATAACTCAGAATATCGTAACGATTCTGTCTTGAACACAATGGACCGCAATTTGATGTGATGATCTGTGTGCCTATGTGATTCATTGAGCTATAGGTCAAACACCGCTGCCTTCCGATTAGGTTTCTGAGCCGAAGGCATGAGCATTTTCCTGTCTATGTGTGGGCGCCCTGAGAGTACCTAATCCCATGTACAAGAATGATACCTGCAACTAACAGTACTGCCATTCCACATCGGCCGTCGCGTGCCACCTTCCTTACTTCATAGAACAGTGAGTAAGCCAAAATAGGCTATTGATGGAGCCCCCTTCTTCCTTTTCCACGTACTCTTTCCCATCCCCCGCACAGTTAATGCCTCTTTCCTTGTAGGCCCATCCGTTGCGACCGACAATCCCGTTCGCCTTGCAATGGTTTTGGTCCCAATATCTGCGCATCGACCGGCGCCAACAACCTCAGGCATCTCCAAATTGGTCTCCAAGACTCGACGTCCAATATATAGGGCTACTCTAATAATCGCGCTTTGAAACAAGCAGGACAATGAGCTGCTCTTGTTCCCACAGTGAACCCACTTGGTACCATGTATCAGAAACAACCGTAGATCCAAGAACAGTCATTGGGCTAGCTGCACCATCCCTCTCTACTCACTTTCAGCCACCCACCTCTGGTGACTTAGAGGCCGCTGTGGTTTTGCACCGTCCTAAGTCACCGTGTGGAACTATCCTTTCTTCACTGGGTACCTGCTGATAGTTGACTCTGCGCGGTCTACCTGGCGATTTCTGTGAAGTCTTACAAGCAGCAAGTTAATCGTTGTCCATCGTGTCTGATTACGCCCAACCGACTGTAGCACTAATACATCCAAAGACAACTTATATGAAGACCTGTTACAACAGTCTAAAAACTCAGATGTCGCTATGGTTGGAAAAAAATTGTTCACGCTTTCGTTGCCTAACTACCATGTCACCAGAAGGAAGCACGAGAGCTGGGATACTGCCACGTTTCCCAAGCTTATACAGGTGAAGTCGAGAGGTAGAGGCTGGGTTCGAATCGCGGATCTTCTGGTTGATAAATTCGCGCTCAAACCAGAGTCATCTCGCCCCCTCGTTATAGTTGCCGGAGAAATGAATATACAAGTACGCAGAATTAGCGCATCCGACAGTTCATTGGGTGTGCTGCTGGATGGTGTAGTGGATGTACTGCTGGAAGCCGCATTGGGCTGGTATTAGGTCTCGGACTTCGATAGCAATGGGTAATTTGCTGTTCAACAGTCGGGGTGTGCAGTTTGTGGGTAATATTTCCCTGATCCGTTTTTCCTGCGGGAAAGGCAGCGTGGCTAATTCCATACATATGGAGATGCCGGTCGGTTGTGAAAAACACCTTACTGACCTCACGTCCGTCGCAGCAAAAAGTAAGATCTACTGACGGAACGCCTCGCACTGCAATTGTTGGTAATGCGGGGACTCGTCCTTCGTAGGCCTGCTTTCCATTAGTTTTCCAGGGATGGTAAAAGCTTCAGATATGAAATTCCAGACGCTGTAACTTGCATAATCATTGGGACACTGAAGCCCAACCACCCTGACATGAAAGCCATAGTACGTGCCGGGACGACTGCCTTTGGACAAATTTGGAAACATCGTACTGTTCGTTTCAGACCTTTGGAAAAGCCAGACATTTGAAGGGGTGATCAGGTGATTTGCCGTCCGTACGACTTTAAATGACTTTGGGGTAAAGCATGAAAACATTATTCAGAACCGCCGCACACTTGAGTACAAGCTCACGCGTTTCAACAGGATCAACTTAGCCTACCACCGGTATACAAAGTGTGAGTTACTATTGAAAAACCAGAGCTGTCCAGATAAGTTGCTCCCACCTCTAAGTAACAATCACTCGACCTTACTGCCACACTACATGGGGTACCAATAGACATCCGAACACCGGTTTGCCAAATGGCTACCAATCACAATTTGTCTGATGTAATTGCCGTAACTCGCCTCAAGTCGAAGAAATTGGCGCAAGAAGCCAACAGACTGGTGTGGAAAGAAGTCATTCTGGCCCTCGCTCTTATGTCATCATAATTTGGCCGGTAGCTTTCAAAGGTCTCCTAGGTGTTGAGCACAGTTCTGATTGCGAAGGTCGCATCGACACCGGTCTGCATGTAACAATATAATGCACCAAACAGCACCACCAATAACGACATGGGTTCCGCACGAGTGCAATATGGTCGACAAAACCACGAGGCTTAACCAGTAACCCTAAAACGTGATACGTTTACTGCATTTCTCTAAGTGCTCTTAATCATAATAAATACGAAGCAGAAATTCCGCTGCCACTGGCACAAAATTAACCAGCAACCGAGATAACTCACAGATAAGCCGGTATCCGCTCCATTTCCTTGACAAGTTTACGTCTGCACATAAGATCATGCTGCTCATTGTCGAATGTGGCTAGCAGCAAATATGCAACCACGTGTTTAAGGGCCTAGCAACAAAATATTGGTAAGAATAAGTACTTTACTAAATAGCGCTTTTGTTCATCCTCCTGTATGCTCTTTGTGTTATAGACTTCCCAATAGTGCTTGCTGATATTCAGGTACTGATCATCGTGGGAGTTGAGTTCGATCATCAGGTGATAGTATTTCAGTTTCAGTTGTTCATGAGTCTCGTCGCTGAAAAACTTCGGGGAAATTTTTCTACTAATGATTTGGGTTCGGATGTAATCTTTTTTCGCCAGCCCCAGTCGTATCTGTTCAAGCATAAACTCTACCTTTTCCTTTTTCTCCATGGACCCGTATGTTTCGACCTGGGTTTTTGATGAGAAGACTGAGCGATTTACCTGCAGCTCTTGAAGGACTGAAGCCGCCTCATCGATGTTACCGTGAGATTCCTTAATTCGCGCGAGTTCCCTAGTTAACCGGGCCCGCTCTACCTCAACGTATATCTATCGAAATTAATGAGCTGAATAAAACGTGCCTTTCCCTCCGTAACACGTCGCAAAGCTGCAATAAGTGACAGCTTTGTCTCTTCGTCTGGAGTTTTATCAAGATAGAGTAGGCTTTTCTGGACCATTTTCGTCACTGCCTAGAACAGGATTGGATGAAGAACACACAAGCAACCTGTTTCAGCTGGTTTCGTTTCTTTGTCATGGCTTCTAAATGCCTGTTAAGTTGTTCCCACTTTCCAGCATCACCAAGGAGTTCCACCATAACCTCTAGTAATCGACCGGTGGAAATCGCGTCAGATGCCTAAAAACTAAAGGGATAGGCTGAAGTATTACCATTCTAGTTTGCTTTTCAAGCGCGATGCATTGCTCTAGCGCACCATCAGTGTCTCCCTCCTTAGCCAGAATAAAGACAAAAAGACAGACCTACTGATGCAGTCGCCTTAACCGTGGGTATTAGGGCGTCTACGGCGCTCGAAAAATCAATCTCCATTTTCTCAATCCTCCCATCACCCATGACTAGGCAAAGCGCAGTCGACGTTGGGCAACAGTGCAGGGCCGTCTAGGACACTGTGTACCTAACCGCTCATTGGTCAAAGCCGTGACCATCATAAAATTGTTCACAGAGTCAGAATCCGCAAGTTTCAGATACCCAGGGTCGACTCCAGAAAGCAAGTAAACTACCGCACTATGACAGGTAGGGACTAGTGAAACGAAAAAGGCCTTGGTTTCGGAGTTATTTGTTGGACAATGCCAACTGAACAGCCAAAGACTATCGGACAGGGAAGCAAAATCCTAATGTGCATTCACGGATTCACATTCACGGATTGACACACAGGATCGGGGCTTTTGCCCAAGTTTCCTGGGTCGCTTTAATTCTTGTCGGTCAGTGGCTGTCGTTCACCTGAAAGGCACAAGTGAAAAAAAGGTGTAACGCTGCTACTTATGTTCTCTGCGCGAGGCAGTATGCTTGTCAGCGCGAGGGTTCGCATAAATAAATGTCTAATAGTGCTTTAAATTGGGTTCGAGAAGGAGCGTGGGCAACCGTCGGAGGAAGGTCATTCCACGCAAATACTACCCGAAATGAGAAAAAATTTTGTCTAATGAATGTGTGTCCTCTGAGCTTCAAAATTTTCTCACTATGTCTCCGCTGGGTGTTTGCTGGGTCAACGGTAAAAAACCTTTTGGCCAAGATTTGTTCAAACAGGGCATAAGTAAGAATTAGGTACCCTCGGAGGCGACTGTACTCCGGGGAAAGAGATCAAGCATCGCGAGACGCGTTTCGCAGTCCACGGATTTGAGGCCGGCAACCATTCTCGTAGTGGCCCGCTGGCATTTTGGTTACAAAACTGATTATCATTCTTCTCCTCGAACGCACCTTCCTGAACGTTCCTGAATATTCATTGACTTCGCTCAAATCCAAGCAAATGCATCAAGGCGGCTCCACAAATTCCGTAATAGATCTTACTCTTCAAGAGACGGAATGCTGATTTCCGAAAAACATACTTCTCACAGCCGGCGGCTAGACGCACACCCAAAATTTTTCTGAAACCGTGGTTCGAAGGAGGAAAACTTTAACATAAAGATTTAGCATTTGCTGGTAATTTTTCGGGCGTGTGTGATCTTCCCAAACGGCCGCAGTTTTGTTGATTTTTGTTTAAACCTACTAAATCCCCACGATACCCGCGATATTCGTATTTTAATGGCTGCCATGACCGAGCACGTGAATGCGGAGGATGGTTTTGCAGAGAATTTAGCTCGTTAAAGTTTTTCTCATTCATTGCATTTCAAGTCGCTTTGAAAGAGTACCAAGTGAAACATTTCGTTGTTTTCGTCTGCACGAACGCTGAAAAGAGCAGTAATTCGCTACTTTTGTATGAAAAGCCTTCTACCGTTGCAGCAGACATTCCTGCAGACGAAGCAGAAGCCGTGAAATTCGTCGCACCTAGTAATTTCATGGTCGATTGTGTGTACGCAGTGGCACACTTCGTACTGATTGTCCGGCAAGGTTCCGCGTTCGCCGGTACCATGACTGCTTGAGGGTCACTTCCTACTACCTGGAGCACAACCATCCACGCAGCAAGTTTATTTTTGACAGGCTCTTCATCAACCGACGACTGACAAATGATGAATTAAAGGAGTGCTGTACCCTTTTGAAATATAGTGCTCCGGCATCGGAGATTCGGTAGCACGTCGCGGACCACTTAGGAAAGGTACTCACTATAAAGGATGTGCGTAACTATCGAGTCAAATGTCAACCCCTATTGTTAAGTAGGGCCTTGGTTACCTTTTAGTCGGTTTTTTAGATGGCATGTCATCCATCATAGCCAAGTTTCGAGAATGCGGTTGCGTGATAATGGTGGGATCGGTAGGTGGCAGATATAGTCATCCCTGCTTTTCTCGTACGCAACGGATGGCACTCTAGGCGTTTCCCGGACGCTGTAAACGTTGTTGCTACACACAGTACTAACCGTCTTGGGTAAATAAATTTAGAGTCCCTGGAGTGTACTAAGCCAGCTGACGTCGCGTCGAAATTCAGTTAGTGCACAGGACAGTCAGCCTCTGGTGTTGGATGGCAACCGCGACCAACCACGTTGGCGTTCAACGTCAAACGACGCTGTTCCCTGTGGTCTCTGTGGCCAGCCAACTGACCCTGCTGATTGGTGGTGTCAAGGTGATCGACTTCCATATCACCGTTATTGCTGTGGCAATGAGCCCATCCCCCTGTGTGGAGAAAATCTTCAGGTGCGTCCGCCAGGTTTGTGCACATGTATCAGCTAAACTATTCCCATTGGTTGCCGGTCAGTCTACCTACCGGTCGGCTAAAAGAACTTGCTTTGATGTTGATCTTGATCGCTCCATGGAGGACAAGCCGAGTCTGCCCCGTAAGACAGTCGCAATAAAACTGTTTTTTCCAATTACGGAGTTGATGGATACCGGTAATTTGAAGCCTAATTTCTTAGCATAAGCTTTGTGGACCTTGCTTTCTAATCCCGTGATGACGATGAATTCGTGTGATCGTAACTCGAAGGCCTCAAATGCCGAATCAATGAATCCGTGGCAATCCGCAACGACTAAACATTTATCCATCATCCCGGTAATGAGAATTATAAACCACTAGGTAAGCAACCAAATAAAATTCCATTACATCTAGATGCTTAAATGCATGCCCATTTTCCGTTTCAGGATCCTTGTCCCGTGAGGTGGATCTTAAGAAAATGAAAAATGGAGCGACTACCAGTTAAGCTTCCATCAGTGATGCCAATGAATAAAATGCAATTCGCCAATGTTGTTTTCGTAAATTCATGGCGGGCGCTTTATCAACGCCTGGAGTTATGAGTATGGAGCGCCGTCGTTGGCCACTGTGTTACGTTGTTGTGCATAGGTGAGGCCCCATAATCTGCGTCGCGAATTATTATGTGTCGCCGGGGCATTATTGTTAGCTACGAGCATGTGTACGGGCCTGGCAGTTACTATAGGCGGCCACCGTAGGTTACGTCGACTGCAGTTGTGATGTTTACTGAAGGTAGCAAACATAAACGGCATAGAGTAAGTATGAGTATGACTATAAATAGCCAAGTTAGGTGACTTCGAGTACAGTTGTGCGTATAACAGACTGTCAGATTAGGCTATCACCCATATTGAGTCCTTGTCTTTACCGGCCGCCATAAATATTGGTCGTTAAGATGCCACGCACAGTTGGAACCTGGTTTCCATCGGCCCGCGTAGATACTGGCTTGGTGTTTACTGTAGGTAGCAGGCAGGCACGGCAGTGAAGATCAGTGTTTAACACTGATTTCATGCTGTCCACGATAATATACGTAGCAGACATAAGTGAGAGCGCGCACATTTATGAGTATGACGGGCCATCGTAGGCAGTTAAATCAGGACACTTCGCATAGCCGAGGCTTACCAAACAGCGTCGCATACAGGCACTGACCTAGCAGTTTCAGTATGTAGTCAAGGTAGGCGATATCACGTACAGTTTTGAGTATTAGGTCCATCGTTTGCCATTAGATTGGGTGTGTATGCACAAGGACAATGACTCAACAGGTACGATCAATAGCCGAGTTAGATGACTTCAAGTACAGTTGTGAGTATAACAGACTGTCAGATGTGGCTATCACGCATAGCTGAGGCCTTATTTTCACCGGTCGGCATATATATTACACTGATATTAACTGCAGCTAGCGAAGACAAGCTGCATCGCGTATATTTAAGGGTATAAAAGACCGTCATTGACCATCGGATTATGTTACTGTGCATAGGTGCGGTCTCATTATCAACGTTGCACATAAACGCGGGCCTAGCAGTTACAACAGGTGGTCGAGATGAGTGAAAACTAGTAGAGATGCGAGTACAAGGGGCCGTCGTTG